TCCTAGCCACTTGAATCTCAAGAATATTACTGGAGATGGATTTCCTCTTCAGCAAGCCAGAAAGAACATCTACACACAACACATAGGTCAGAAACACCCACCAACAAATAACTTTAAAAATCCATAAAAAATAAAACAAATAACTTTAAAAAAAACTGTATAAACCAAAATCCAATAAAAAAAACCATAAACTTTACATTAAAGACCAACCACTAAAATCATTTTTATTACAAATTTTATTCAAGAACTTATATACAAAAAACAAAGAGATCATTCTTCAACATTACTTGATTGATGACATGGAGAGAACAAAGATTGCTCTTTCCTTTTACTAGAACTTGTAAGCATTGCAACAACTTTACGCATGGTCGGTCGTCTAGAAGGATAAGCGTCGGTGCATAGTAAAGAAATTTTCAAGACATCAAATATTTGAGCAACATCAATTTCATCTAGTAGGTCCAATTTTGCATCAATGATGTCTAGTTTCAATGAATATTTGTTGATATTATTTGTCACCCATGTTACAAGATCACCACCACCTTGATCCAATGATTGGATTGGCTTCTTCCCAGTTAGTAACTCCAATAGGACTACTCCATAGCTGTACACATCACATTTTTCTGTGACTTTCATTGTGTATGCATACTCTGTGTCAACACAATGAAATATTGTTGTTGAATAAAAGAAATGCAACAATGATTGATGAGTAAAAAAAGAATAGTGTGTTTGGATGAGGGCTTACCAGGGGCAATGTAGCCATAAGAGCCAACTACTGCAGACACTGATTTTGACTTTGAGATATCAATAAGCTTAGCCAAACCAAAATCACCAACATGAGCTTCAAATTCATGGTCGATAAGTATGTTATTGGACTTGATATCCCGGTGGATAATCCTCGGCTTGCAATCATGGTGCAAATAAGATAGTCCTTGTGCAGTTCCTAGAGCAATCCTAAACCTGGAATACCAATCAAGACTAGAAGAAGATTCTCCATGAAGTAACTCTCCTAAACTACCCTTTTCCATGTGTTCATAAAGTAGCATATTAGAGCCACTGTAGTTGCAGAAACCGTATAATTTCACGATATTTCTATGCCTTATTTTGCCCAAAGTTAAGATTTCAGCGCGGAAGCAGCCGTTTAGATCAATGCTGTTACTGTTTGATGTAAGTTTCTTTACAGCAATTGTGTTTATATGATTATGATCATTTGATATATCTGCTCTATACACAGTTCCACTGCCACCTTTTCCGATTTCATATTTGGAATGAAAATCTTCGGTAGCTTCAACCATGTCTTGGAAATCCAACTCCTCTTTCGGGAAAAAGTACATGTTTGAAACATTTGGAGAATTTGGTTTATCTATATCTTGGTTTGGCACAGTGAAAATTTTCACTAGATATATGATAACCAGAATTAAAATCAATGAAACTCCACTAACAATAGCTGCAACTATAGCTAGAATTTTTCCTAGTTTATTTGGAGGGGAATATGATGTTGAATTTGGACAAGGGACAAGGAGTCCTCCACACAATCCTTTGTTACCTGAAAAGCAGCTGAATGTGGAGTTTTGAAAGAGAGGTAAAGAAGGTAAAGGACCGAAAAGATCGTTGTATGAAAAGTTGAATGAAAGTAAACTTGAAAGCCTGTTAAAGGAGTTCGGAATTTCTGCGCTCAAGTGATTGTTGTTGAGTTGGAGAGATTCTAGCATAATAAGATTCCCAAGTTGGGAAGGTATTTGGCCTGAAAGTTTATTATAGCTGAGATTAAGTGCAATTTGCAGGGATGCAAGGGCACCTAACTCTTGTGGAATGTAACCACAAAATGAGTTTTCGCTCATTTGTAGTTCGGTCAACCGCAAGAGTTTTCCGACTTCCAATGGAATTTTACTAGAAAAATTGTTATTTGAGAGCCTTAGAAGCTCTAACTGTGAAAGAGTTCCTATCTCACCTGATAAAGTACCTACAAAGCCGTTGTTGCTGAGGTCGAGTCTTTGGAGCTTCCTGCAGTTGAAAAGTTCCATAGGCAGTCTACCAAAAAGATAATTCGATGAGACATTAAAGGATACCAACTGAGAGAGGTTACCGATTTCTTTCGGCAATTCAGCCGAAAAACGGTTGTTAGAAAGGTGGAGTCTTTGCAAATTTTGGAAGTGACCAATTTGTGGAGGAATAGGGCCAGTGAATTCATTCTGTTCCAACTCAACTGTAGAAATATTTACAAGCTCGCATAAATTCGAAGGAAACTTTCCCCTCAAGTTGTTACCGAAGAGGCGAAGATACACCAAAGACTTGCAGCTTGTAATTCTATGAGGTATATTTCCGGCGAGTTTGTTCGATCCTAAGTTTAACATCATCAATTTAGACTGTTGGCAAAGATGAATTGGAATCCTTCCAACTAAGTTGTTGAATGACAAATCAAGCACCCAAAGTGGACTATTTGCTCCAAGTGCATAAGGAATTCTACCACTTAATGAGTTGTTGAAGAGTTGCAATGAGTACAGTTTGGTCAAATCCTGAAATCCAGTCGGAATAGTACCATTGAGGTGATTGATAGAGAGATCAAGCTCGGTTAGGTTTTTCCAGGTTGTGAACTCATTCGGAATTGCACCGGTTAGCTTGTTCTCGAAGAGATGAAGCAATTGCAAGCCTTTGATATTAACCAACTCGATCGGTATCTCTCCTGTAAGAAGATTCTCCGAAAAATCAATCTCAATTGCAACAGAAAGGTTTCCAATCTCCCTTGGAATATTTCCTGTCAACTTATTCCTGTAAAGGTATAGTTTCTTTAGGACTTCAAGGTTTCCAAGCTCCTTTGGAATCTCTTCCACAAGATTGTTCTGATAGAGAGCAAGAATCTCCAAATTTGTACAGTTTCCAAGCTCTTTAGGTATAGCACCATGAAGATTATTTTCCCTAAGGACCAAACATTGCAAGTTCTTGAGTAAACCAAGTTCTTTCGGTATTTCACCACTTATCTGATTTTGAGTTAAACCAAGATACTCCAAGCTTTCACAACCACCTATCTCTCGAGGTAAACTTCCTGAGATCATATTCTGTCCGGCTCGAAACCGAATCAATCTTTTAAGGTTCCCGATAGAAGCCGGCAAAGATCCGCAGAGATGATTTGTGTAAACAGTAAATATCGAGAGTGAAGAAAGGTTACCAATTTCGTCCGGAAAAGTTCCTGAGAGCTGGTTGTTTGAAAGATGCAATTCAGTTAAATTTGAAAGCTGGCCTATTTCGACAGGAATTTGACCTTCAAATTGATTAATGTTGAGACTAAGAACCTGCAAACTTGAGCAGTTTCCAATTTCCTTTGGTATAAAACCAGAGAATGTGTTCTGAGAAAGATTAAGATGAAGCAACTGAACCAAACCACCAATGCTGGAAGATAATGAGCCCGAGAGATTCATTGCATGCAAGTCAAGAGATTCAACCAATGGATTGATGTCATTGTTACAGGTAACACCTTTCCAACCACAAGGTGTTGAATCACTTGAATTCCAATTCTCAAGATGACTGTATCTGTCAAACAGTTTTCCTTTTATATCCATAAGGTATTTTCCCTCTGCATTAAGCCCTTCAGAGAGACAGAAAATAAGAGTAAATATCAACAACATCACAAACAATGCATATACATTTTTCTCCATATTTGCACAAGCAAATTATACACAAGGTTCTATTAGAGGTGAATCACTAACTATTTTTATTTTTCTTCTTGGAAGAAAAAAGAACTGAAGCACTAGAAGATTCATTAAAACATGCAAAAATTTTAAGGAATATTGAGAAGACGAATGAAACTTCCCATGATAATGGGAAGGTGCATAGAGCTGACAACTTGATAATATGATAATGGTAAAGAATGAATAGATAGCATATTAGCATATTGATGATTGGTGGACAAATGAAGCATTCAAAGATTCCACTTTCTATGATATTCCATCTTATAGAGGATGAATATCATTTGAAACTCTCCTCACACCCTGATTATATTATAGAGATTCTTTGTCCTGTAGTCTCTGCAATTTTAGAATCTTAATGAAGTTTATCCAATCAGTAATATAAAAAGGGTGAAATATTGACTGAAAAATAAAATGATGTATCGAGCAAAAGATATTATTTGCTAGTTGAAGCTCCATGAAGATGAAAACCAATTGACTTGAAGATAAGTGGAGCTTCATCTGACACTACATCCACATAGCTTAATTTATCAGTGTAGTCAAAAGTCATTATTCTTCAACAAACTAACACTTCTGATGAAAGTAATGATATCACACATCATTAAAAAATTGATAGACTGAAAAGAGAAATAGTACAGGGATGGTGAAAAATATAATGAATGGCATAATATTAAATTTGATTAAAAAAAAGGAGAGAAAAAGTGTTAAATAGTGTCTATGACTAGGTGCAAAAGTAGTTTTATTGTAACCTGGCTTGGATTTAGTCTATATACATTGCAATGAATCTTCAAACACACAAAAGAGAACTTACAGAATCGTCTTAGGAATCTTGTGAGTGGGATAACGCCTTCCCAAAACTCATTAAATAAGTTAAAATATGTTGGTGCTTAAAACTTTTTCTGAAGTTTAACATTCTTCACAAACACTGGGAATATAGAGCACATGCTAAATTTGTTTGTAATGACTTTTGTCCGGTTTCAACCAGGATACAAACATGATTGTTCCAATCAGAACTCGAACTTGGATTCGTCTTTAATTCAAGCTCTAGTAACTTGACTATTTGTAATGACGTCATCATTAAATTTTCTCTGTTGGTTGTAATAGATTATGGAGTAAAATAAAAGCAAAAAATAATGAAGAGAATAAGCAGCATGACAAATCTACAAACATGGTAAGTTTCCAGGGTCTGATATTAAATATTAACAGCTCAACTCAAAATTTGCACAAGAGTACAACAAAGATAACTAATATTACATGACAGCTAACCACTACTACTTTCTTTTCTTGTGTAAAATAGAACAACATGGGGGCATAATAACATTACAATCCTGCTGCATCAATGCCATCATTTGAAGCATTACCAATCTCCTGTTTAGCAGAAATTACCCTGTCCAGAGTTTCGTCTGAAACCGAGATCCCCGTTGTTTCCAAGTCTGCCACAACGGCAACGGCAGCATCTAGTTCCCCAAGATCAAGGCAAAGAGATATGATCTCATCATAAAGCGGTCTGGAACATAGGGGAAAGAAGGGAAAGCATTAGCAAGAAAGCAACAAAAATATCAACATCTGGGTTGGGTAACCGAGTTTTGTTATATAAAGAAAATAGCGTTACCTCCCAAACTTATAGCCAAGACCATGAGTTGTCTGCAAAATTGTCAAGAAAGCTGAAGGTAGAGGTGCTTTTATAGCTGCACGCAAGATCACGGCACAATCTCCAATAGTTGGCATTCCTCCCAATTGTATGACCTGAGTAATACAGCCAAATTATGAATATATCTCAGCTATGATGTGATATATAAGCCAAATTTCAAAATTGAATAAAATATCATGCTATGCTTGAACAGGAATCTAGAAGCAGATACATAAGCTTCAATGCAGTCATTTTCGTTTATACTTAATGCAAAACATAACAAATATCACATTATCACCACTGATAATATTTATAAATTAATATTTGAAGCAGCGCAAATTTATTCCTTTTAGGGTAGCTGTCTAGCTGATATTACAAAAAACAACTATTATAGACACTTCAAGTTCTTTGTCATTTCTAACTTTAAGTTCTATACAAGTACTTGCAATACAGCTCCAAATATTTCTTTCTTGTTCAATCTTTCTAAAGGTGTATTTGGTACTGCTTACTTGATTAAAATTTATAGCAACATCAATGTCATCACTACAAGCATAATCTTCGATTATCTGCTCCTATTACACATTAATTCACAGGCTTACCTAGCCAAACTTGAATGAGTTTGAAGTTAAATCATATTCTTTGTTCTTCTAGTCAAAAGTCTAGAGTTAAGCAAAACCGTGTTTTAAAAATAAAAAAAACTAAAAATTGCAATTTTTTTCATCTATTAAGTCTTTAGTACCTATTGAATTAGGAGAGATTAAGAGATATTTAGGTTAAACCGTGTGTTTTGAAAGCACTACGAAGACTTTATTATATATAGAGAGATTACAACTAATTACACGATATAATCGATGTGAGACTATTTTACATACAAATATTCTTAACATTATATATTTACAAATATCAACACTCCCCCTCAAGCTGGAGCATATAAGTCAAATGCACCAAGCTTACCACATATGTAATTAGTTCTGAGGCTTCGCAAAGATTTTGTAAACACATCTGTCAATTGATCATTAGAGTTGACAAAGCTTGTGACGATGTCGCCAGATTCAATCTTCTCTCTGACAAAGTGACAGTCTATCTCAATATGTTTGGTCCTCTCATGGAAGACTGGATTTGAAGCAATGTGCAATGCAGTTTGATTATCACATACAAGAGTCATTGGTCTTACTTCTTCAATTTTAAGTTCTTTGAACAACTGTTTTAACCAAATGAGTTCACATGTTGTCAGTGCCATGGCCCTATACTCTGCCTCGGCGCTTGATCTTGCAACTACATTTTGTTTCTTACTTTTCCAGGATACAAGATTTCCTCCAACAAGTACACAATACCCAGAGGTGGATCGCCTATCAATTGGTGACTCTGCCCAATCAGCATCAGAGTATCCAACTATCTGAGTATGTTCTTTATCTTCATACACTAAATCTTTTCCTGGAGCACATTTAATGTATCTTAGAATCCGGATAACAGCATCCATGTGTTCCTGATAAGGGAAATTTAAGAACTGGCTTACCACACTGACTGCAAAAGAAATGTCTGGACGAGTGACTGTGAGATAATTCAACTTTTCAACCAATCTCTTATACCTTCCCGAGTCTGATAGAGGTTCCCCCTGATTGGATAGTAGTTTGACACTTGGATCCATAGGAGTATCAACTGGTTTAGCGTTCAACAAACATGTTTCTTCCAAAATATCCATAGCATATTTCCGCTGAGAAATCACCAAACCATCTTTAGATTGGGCTACCTCAATACCTAAGAAATACCGGAGTTTACCAAGATCCTTTGTCTGAAATTGATACGAAAGATGCTGTTTCAACTGGAGTATTCCTGACTCATCACTTCCAGTTATGACAATATAATCTACATACACAATAAGATAAATACACCCTTGGACTGAGTGACGATAAAAGACAGAATGGTCAGCTTCACTACGGACCATACCAAATTGTTGTACTACAGTGCTGAATCTGTCAAACCAAGCTCTCGGAGATTGCTTAAGACCATAAAGAGACCTGTGTAGCCTACAAACCATATTCAATGACTCCCCCTGAGCAACAAACCCAGGTGGTTGCTCCATATATACTTCCTCTTCAAGATCACCATGTAAAAATGCATTTTTGATGTCAAGTTGATGAAGAGGCCAATGTCGAATGGCTGCAATGGCTAGAAGAAGTCTAACAGATGCCATCTTGGCTACAGGCGAGAAGGTATCACTATAGTCCAACCCAAAAATCTGAGTGTATCCCTTGGCTACCAAGCGAACTTTAAAACGATCAATCTTACCATCTGGACCAACCTTCACTGTATAAAGCCAACAACAACCTACTAAAGATTTTTCAGTGGGTAGAGGAACCAGTTCCCAGGTACCACTGCTTTGAAGAGCACACATTTCATCAATCATTGCTTGCCTCCACTCAGAGTGAGATAATGCTTCACCTAGAGATTTAGGAATAGAAACAGAAGACAAAGAGGACAAACAAGTATACTGCAAAGGGGAAAGACGATGATAACATAAATCAATATAATGTGGAGAAGGATTTCGTGTTTGACGTATACCTTTGCGAAGGGCAATCGGAAGATCAGACTCAGATTACAGGATCGAATCAGGTGATGGTGATAGCGTCGGAGGAGAGTCAGCAATGACCTCAAGGACAGGTACGACCTCAGGGACATGTACAACCTCAGGGACAGGTATGATAGACGTTGGTTTACGACACTGATATGTTTGAAGTGGGCGAGAAGTGTGGGGGGGGGGGGGTTTCTCGTGGGACAGGTTCCCTAGAGTGATGGGGGATAATGGGAAATGGGACTTCCGGAAGAGGTGTGGGAGTACTTTCCTGAAGGGGTTCCGGAGTGACTTGGGTGGACGTAAAATATGGCTCAGACTCGAAGAAGGTAACATCGGCCGGTATCAGGTATCATTGCAGAGTGTGTGAGTAGCAACGATAATCTTTTTGGGATCGATGATAACCAAGAAAGACACATTTTAGTGATCGAACTGATAGTTTATCAAGACTAGGGGAGAGATTATGCACAAAACATGTAGACCCGAAGACTCGAGGAGGAATTGGGTGAAGAGGAGAGTTTGGAAACATGATTGAATGAGGGATTTTATTATTAAGGACAAATGAGAGCATGTGATTTATGAGATAACACGCCGTGAGCACAACATCCCCCCAAAATCTGAGAGGGACATTACCATGGAGAAGTAGAGTCTGGATGGTTTCTACGAGATGCCGGTTTTTGCGTTCGACTACCCCGTTTTGTTGAGGTGTATGAGGGCAAGATGTTTGGTACAGAATACCATTGGATGACATAAAAGTTTGAAATTGTTGGGATAAATATTCGCGTGCATTATTACTTCTTAAGGTACGAATGGACAAACCAAATTGGGTTCTTATTTCTTGATAAAATTGTTCAAAAATAGAAAACAATTCAGATTTGTTTTTCATTAAAAATAGCCACGTGCAACGTGAAAAATCATCAATAAATGTTACAAAATACCTAGACTCAAAAGTAGACACGGTACGCAATGGACCCCAAACATCGAAGTGAACTAAAGCAAAAGGGGACGCAGCCCGTTTATTGACTCGATCAGAAAAGTGACTACGAGTATGTTTTGACAAGATTCACATTGTAAAGTGGATAACTTAGATAAACTGGGCACCAACTTTTGTAGCTTGGGAAGACTTGGATGACCTAACTGCGCATGTATAATGAGTGGAGAATTTGTGGTGGAGTATGTGGTAGATGACGTAGAGAAGTAGTAGAGGCCTTGAGACTCACATCCGACGCCAATCGTCTGTCCCGAACTTCAATCCTGCAGAATAACATCATTGTTAGTAAAAGTGATAGAACAATTAAGAGAGTGAGTTAAACGACTGACTAACAGTAGATTAAATGGACAATTAGGTACATATAGGACAAATAACAAAGAGAGATGGTAGAATTTGAACAGTACTGATCCCTTGGGATCGGGTTTGAGAACCATTTGCGGCAGTTATACTCGGTAAGAAACCAGAGGTAGAAAGGGAAGAGAAAAGATTTTTATTACCGGTAACATGATCAGACGCACCAGAGTCGAGGACCCAAGGAAGAGGAGATGATTGAGAGACGCAAACAGATGAATTACTAGTGTGTGCAATCGAAATCGTGGAACCAGAGGTCTGGTTAGTCTGACGCCACCTGAGAAAATCCCCGTAGCTTGGTGTAGGGTTCTGAAAAGAAGGTGAAGTTTGCATAGTATCTAGGTTATCAATTTGAGCTGCATTTACCTGCCGTGGAGGTTTGCCATGCAACTTTCAGCAACGATCGATAGTATGTCCAAGCCGGTTACAATGGTCACACTTAGGACGAGGTTTGTAGTTGGATGACCCTCCTCGAAGGCGATTCTGATTGTTGTCAAGAGATGCAAGAGCAGCAGTGTCATCTGGTGTTGGAATAGCAATAGATGGAGGAGAAACCGGGCCAAACGCATGAGGTGTAGCCAAGCGCAACAATTGTTCACTAACTGTATCATAGTTAGGAACAGTAGTGCCTGATAAAATCTGGTTACGAACGGATTTGAGTTCTGATGGTAGTCCTTTAAGTGCTATGACCATGAAATATTTGCTCTGTTGTTCGGCATGAGCTATTGCATCTTTTGCGTAAGACATGAGGGTTGTGTAACTTGCTTTCAAGGCATCAAGCTTACTCAGATAAGCTTGCACATCCATATTTTCCAACTTCAGTGTGTTGAGTTTGTGGATGACACTGTATAGAGAATGAACGTCGTTGGAAAAGACTTTCTTGTCTTTTTGCCACACCTCATAACAAGTGGAGAATGCTTGGTACTGCGCTTGGAGGTTAGGTGTTATGGAAAACCACGACACAGTACACAAAGAGGCATCGGTTTTCTTCCATTTAGCGAGTTTGACGGCTGTAACGTCACTCAATTGGGTGGTTAGATACTCTTCATATCCTTGACCGTGAAACCACATCTCGACAGCACAAGCCCATATGTTATAGTTGGCTGATCCGGTTAGTTTTTCACATGGGATAAGCAGAACTTTAGTAAACGAGACAGAATCAGCATCTCTCATGGCTTAAAGCACAATAACTAGGGTTGTTTGAAGAAGAGTACGACTTTCTGTGAGTCGAAAACGGAAACCGGGGGTGGATCTGGAACCAGAGGAGGAAGGCGTTTTTCCGATTAAAAAAAATTATTTTTTTCGTGAACAGTAGCGGCGGCGGTGAACAGTAGCTCCCGGAAAAAAAAAATCGTGGGCAGTGCGGCGGCGGAGGTCGCTGGAAAAAAAATTTAAAAAAAAAAAAGGTGAGGCAAACCGGAATGATGACACGGTTTGCAGAAGAAAATTTTTCACCGAAAGACAGTGGATCAACCGGGTAAAGCACGGCGAAGAATTGCCTCTTAAAAGACTCTAGATACCATATTGAATTAGAAGAGACTAAGAGACATTTAGGTTAAACCGTGTTTTGAAAGTACTACGGAGACTTTATTATATATAGAGAGATTACAACTAATTGCACGATATAATCGATGTGGGACTATTTTACATATAAATATTTTTAACATTATATATTTACAAATATCAACAATATCAAATGTAATGGATATATCCTATATAAGCCACTATCCAATACATAAATGGTCGCTCACAATCTATTTATGTAGAAGTTTCTTTAGTTTTATGATCTTTCACAATTTAGTGAATAAATTAACTCAAAAAGATGAAAGAGAAAAGGAAAGATGATAGTTGAACAAAAATGCATAAGAATAAAATAAAGCTCTCCGATTTATTTGATTATCCATTAAAGCAACCTACGAGGCTCATAAGTAGAACTAACCGATGCGAAATGACATTACTATTGCAAAGGTGTAAAACATTGCAGTTAAAGGTTCAAGCACAGATATTAGTAAAAACTGAGGAGTGTAAGTTTTATTGTGGTATCAATTGTACTGGGTATACTATTCGCAATCTGTATGAAAATAAATGTGTCATTTAAGTGCATGCTGATCAACCAGTCAGTTCCACTATGTGGAATCATGGTCGGATAGGTGTTACAGTTCCAAATATATAGCCTTGTGTGTTTTTGTATTTGCATGCGTGGTACAAAACAGCATTTTCCTATAAACAGTATGTTTCATTTTGTTTACATGAAGAAGCAGCAATTCTGATATATGCCTATTAGAATTTAGAAACCATGGCATTTTACCATTTAAAACTAATTCAAATAGAGAAGCTTGCAATAAAAAAATATAGTACAGGTTTAGTTACTTGCCTTCTGCATAACCTGGATTGCCAACTCAACTTCCCACTCCTGTGACCATCTATGAGGAGGCTTGCTTTTCAGTTCTTTCTCCCATGTCCACCCCCAAGCATCTGCTAAGGAGTACATGTCTGATACATCAAACACTCTACGATTCCTCATTTCCTTAAATGCCTCAAATATGTCCAAAGGAAACCAATCATCATCGACATCATCCTGCAAGGAAACAACTTTAGATTCTCAAACAACATTAAAGTATTCAAAATGTAACACTGCAACAAAGAATTAAAGATTATAGCATTAAATTCAAGCTCAAGGTCCAAAACAGACTCAGCCTCTCTCATGTATGATCCCTCCAGGTCCAAAAAACAAATCATCCTGCTTGCCACCCCCTCCCTGACCAACCAGAATATTTGGAAAGGAAAAAAAGACACCAAGGGATTATCATACCTCGACCATATTCCGATTTTTTCTTCTTCTTCTTAACTTTTTAGAAGATGCAGAGGGTTGGTCAGAATCTTTCAACAGCTGGACTCCAATCATTTGAAGGGGATTTTTACTTCCAACTTCCTTTTCCTTTATCCTCTCTACATCTTGGTTCTCTACTGCCTGTTCTGCCTGTTCTACTTCCTCATCTTCATCTTCTGTTTCATCATCTTCGGCCTCTTTTGCATCATCCTCTGCAACATCAATATAATCTTGAACATCGGGGGACTCTGATGTATCTTCAATCATGCCATTTCCATGAGCACCAGGTAAGCCTTCTCCTAAGAAGCGGCGTTTCCAATATTCTGTATTTCCTTCCTCCAGCTTTATGCGTGAAATCAATGCATTCAACTCTTCATCCACCTGCAATGCAACATTAATCATATTTAAGTTTAGACATTATATATTGAAGATCAAGATGGCTGACAAAAGAATATGGCATACGAGCACATTAGATAAAAAAACCAACCTCTTCTTCCTCCTCTTCAATGGGAGGAACCCAAAGCGGCCGACCCCGAGATTGATTTATTCTCCTTGCTTTCTGTACACGCTGGTAAAGAACATTTCTGGTTCCATCAGTAGGCAAACCTTGTGCTTCTAGTTCTTCCTTCAATTCAAGCACAAGCATTTTACTAGCAGCCTTAGGCTTTAAAGCATTCTTTTCAGGCCCCTTTATGATTTTCTTTAGCCACGCAAGCACTCTAACATAGTCAAATTCAGATACACCATCCCCTAAAGCTACAATTCCTTCGTACCGCAACTTCTTTAGAAGCTTCTTATGGTACACCTTCCTCTCCTCATGGCATCTTTGTTTGAAGGAGGTCTCCATTGGATTTGAATATATAAATCCGTCAGCATCAGGATCTAGAGGTGTTTTACCACTTCGAGGCACCCACCGTTTGCGCTCTCCAGTAAGGCCACCTTGTTCAACATATCTGTTTCAATGAATAGCAAACTTGCAATCAAGACATCAACAAACATAAATCAATTTAATAATGTGAACTAGATCAATAAGCCCATTAACTAATATATATTAGACCAGTGTGGACATATTGGCTTGCACACCAATGTGGAATCTATAAAAACACAATTTACCCTCACAAGGTAAGCTAAGAATCAATAGGTAGGCACATTAGTGACTTTACTCTTGGACAGTAAAAAAAGTAAAAAAACAATTGAGATGAAACCTCAATCAAAACTAAAAAAGACGAGTCAGTTCATTACAATAATTTGGGGTTTAGTGACCCGACCAAGAATAAGCAATAAAAGTATGTGCACACATGATGATGATGATGATAAAACAACCAAATATAAAATAGAAACAATTTGCTGAAATAGAGACAATACCTAGCAATATAATCAATCTCATAACCAAGTTCAGCCTCCTCTTGTAAAGGTTCAATCCATGAACTCACTAAGGTTCGGTATTTTCTGCTCGAGATCATTGCCCGTGGGGGAATTTGCTGGTTATCTTTGGCCATAGCTTCTAAAGCTTCAAGCAAGTCAATAATCCTTCCTATAGTAAAAAATGTCTACCAGGTTAAGTCAAAGCATTTCCAGACAATTTTGGTTATAAATATGTATAAACAACTTACGACACTACATATTGAACCACAGACAATTACATTTACCGTGATTATTATCCTTAGTAATGTAAGTTATGTTACTCGCCGCAAGAGTAACAGAATGTAAGAAAATAGCTTTTTAAGGGAATGATAATAACTTGTGGAAGCAAACCTTCTACACATGATGAAATAGCATATTACTTCTACTACCAAGTAATAACCTGAAAATAATTCTTTAAGCTGAACGTTTTTTACACCCTATAGAATACATGCCTCTGATGCCCTAACATTTTGTACAGAATATTAATGAAATATTAAATTCTTTAACAATAAAGGAAAATATTCTAAGAATGAGAATACTAAAAATAAATAACCAGTATAATCAAACCTTCCCGACACAATGCCCGAAGATACAAAGAAAGAGGATCTCCATAGTTCCCTTCATTATGTAGAACTTTTATACCCCCTTCAAAGGTTTTAAGTGCTCGGAAATGCCTGATAGCTTCTCGTACTACACAGTACTTGGTAAAACACTCCACTAACAGCCTACAGAGACACCAAAGGTTACTTAGTCACAAGTGCAAAGTAAACTCATCGTAGAGAGAAGTATCACTAAAATCTATACATTAAAGCAGTAAAGCATAGGGCTTCTAAATTTAAATAAAAGTAAAAATAATCCTAACCTTAACACTCGCTCGCCGTCAACACTCTCTTAGGTTATGATGAATTGCTTGTTTTCTCAGTATTTTTGCAAAAACGTTTTCCACAAGAAGTGAAAGTAGCACAAACTTCCATACAAAATATTTAAAATAATTATAAAATTAAAAAACTCAATATTCTAATTTTTAAGATAATAACCAATTTGAAGTAAATCAAAGTATTCAAAGTGAAAATTATATTAAAATAGAATTTACATAAATATTGCATAAGTCTATCCTTTTATATCAATTTATATTTATCAGTTAGTTCAATAACTAGTTTCATCAAACACTTTAAATTCAATGAGCTACATTTTAGTTATAAGTTTATCCACTACTTTTGGCTAATAGTCATAGTGGCAGACTGTGGTGTGCAGTCTTTGTGTGATTACCCTCTGGAATGTATAGTTGGAGAGGAATGCCTATTGCCCACATTCTCAAGGAGTCTATTAGCCCATACAGTTGTTGCCTTGTTGGGATAAAGGTTCATATTTACGGCCTCTATTGTTGTTTCACTCATTGTTGTTTCAAGGGAAATCTCAAGACTGATATGCAATAGCTTTGTGATACTCTATGGCCTCATTGCTGATACCTTTTATACTCTGGTTTAAAGAACCTTTCCCAAGTTTATATTCCCTCTTTGACGACGGTTTCTTCTTTAATACACAGTCACGTATTAAAGCTTCTTCTTTGCAATCTTGTTTTGTGATGGGTCTTGATGCAAACTTAAGCTAATTAAAACTTCTAACATTTTTCAAATAATTCAGCTACAAATACTAATGAATACTGCCAATAAAAGGCCAAATTATATACTAATGAATTCGAATCATCCGACATTCAACATGCTAAAATGGTCAGGTTTGTAAAAGAAAAATACAAATAATGTGCCTTACGCATGGGTTTTCACATTTGGCTGTATGCGCTTATGATCTTCGACCATCATGCCAAGTAACTCAGCGACATCTTGTACTCTATAAGCAAAACAGAAACAAGTTTGATTGGATCACAGAATAACAAGTCCAATTCAATCCAAGAATATTCAACTGGGCCTCAGCGTAGTTATTGTTGTATGAAAAAGAGAAATTATGAAAGATTTTACAAAATTGGCCTTCATTAATGGTATGGGAAAGATAAATTAAAAGAATGGAAAGAAGAGAAAACAATAAATGCTTAAGGATATAATAGGAAGAGTAACATTAATGATTCAACGACATATAATTGGGGACAAAACTTTTTTCCAAAGTAACACCAACAAATAAAAAGGTAGAATATGAAGATCCCAGAATACTTTATTTAACGAGTGCAGATTGAGGAATATAATCCTTATCATAATATTTCCTTATATATTAAGAGCGCATACTGAGGAACAAATCTAAACTGTTAAAGAACAAAGATTTCCATGCAATAAATGTTGCCTTTTGCCTGTTGTTGGCCATGCACACGCAACAGACTAACCTGTCATACGAATCAGCTCTAGTATACGCTTGAATGACCCAATTGTATGTTTCTGTATCCGGCTTCATATAATCTATAGCATAATGAATTAAAGACAATTCACCTCAGATGTTCATAATAGAGAAATAGGCTATATCAATCTAGAAAAGAGCGCCCTTATCCCAAACAGTATTCACACGCAATTAAAGAAATGAAAAAAGAGAAAAGAAATTGGAATTGACAAAGGAGTGTTTCACACGTAATAAGAAATAGAGAAGTGGAATTCAAACCTTCTCCATATTCCATGTTCTCAAATGTTGTAAAGGCTATTTCAGGTATTCCGCAGGTAGCCTATTTAATTTGAAGGAAGTAATATTAAAAAAAACATAATACAAACAACCAGGTCAATACCAAAACACACTCATAATTTGTTTTTCCACAACTAATTGAAATTTGAAAAGTTAAAAAACTCAGCGCTGTTCATCCAAAAGGCTGAAACATGTAAAAGTAAATTTACATTACATCATATTCTATATCAATAACCTTAACAGATATTATAGTCACAAAGAGAAACACAGCCCATGAAGCAAGGTTTTGGTTAGCGTTTTATGTATGGAATTCATCTACATAATGATGTATGTATAACGGTTACAACACATGAGTTAATTAGTAACACTCAGAATCTGTTCTGAATACAGAGGAAGTTGTTGAATGACATGTATGATCACTAAATATCTGCAGCCCCATTTTCATGGTGATAAATAAACAACTGACCACTCACTAACAAATCAATATTTGCTAAAAAAATCACCTTGATATTACTTACATTCACCAAGACGTTTGAAAATTCTGAGACAATATACAACGTGAAAAACAATATGGCAATTTAATAGGTATAAACAAAAACATATCAGCTCAAAATGGGGGGGAAAAGTCACCTAATAATTTTGGCACCCGTTTTTAATGAGATACGAAACTGGCCTTAAGAATTGCACACAAAAAAAGACCGAGAAAGTTAACCTGCACAGAAAGGAGGCAATTAAAATGAAACGTTGTTGCCATTCGTCCAGCAGCTTCCATCTCATATGAAACTTCCAAAGCATTAGAATGGTCTCCCGCTTTACAGTCTTCCACAATTAGAAGATCATATACTTCATCAGTAGCCCTAAGGCCACCCTTAGCACCCTTCAAGAACACTCTATTAGCATCTTCCAAATGCTTATTCCGAACGAGTTCCTCTACATCTCACGAGAAAACCAACACACAACAAATAAGTCACTAACCGGAAAAAAATCAATTGAGAGTGAAATGAATAACATAAAAATCAAAGTATACCAATAAGAATAATCCAAGCTTGACGAATATCATAATCTAGCTTTTCCATAGCTCCAAGTATCTCTAAACCTCTAGTGGCTTGACCTTTAGACCCAAACAATCTTACCAACGCAATGAAAGTTTCATGAATCGGTCGAAGCCCCGCACCTAACTCTCTCCTCAGAGAATCCATCTGCACAATGTAACATAAGTGCTTATCACAAAAGCTGTTTCTACAAGTCATTTCAAACAGTCTCACAAATCACAAATACATATGCCACTAGATAGATTCAAATTAATCAATTCAATTAGGCTCTAAGGCTCTGTTTGGATAAACCTAATTAATGCTAATGACATTTTCTTAGTGTAATTAAATTCGATAGAATCGTTTTTGTATCAATTCGTGAAAAGAGAGAATTACCGCGGCTTGTTCATCGCCGTTAAGAACGTAGGAAACTACCAAGCCGTGAAACGACCTAGGGCCTGGACTCAAACCGGCGGCAATCATGTCGTACATGACTTGAGAAACTCCGGTTGAGTTACGGTTCCTGGCATGGTTCATGAGCTCCTCCATGAAACTGAACCGGAGACTGGTTTCAAGGGAAGTGTCGTCATCTTTGGGTTGTTTCTTCTTTCTGGTTCGCTTCTCTGTGGAAGTAACCGCTGCTGCTCGAACCGGTGCGCTTCGGGGAGGGAAGCGGTTTAGTTTGAAGGGGATGTAGGTGTGGGCGTAACTGGGAGTGTAACATGAATGCATGTGTATGGAATTGTGAAATGAGGTTTGGTTTTGAGAATTGAGAGAGTGAAGCAGTGGGAGTGTTCAGTGTGCGAAGAAGGAATCTAAGAGCTCTCGTGGGTGATGATGATAAGGATGTAGAGCAGAAATGACGTTAGTCAAATACAATTTAAGTGATTACAGTAATTAACATGCCAACTCCAAAATTTTCAAATTATATATAGCACCTCCCATTTTAAATATTTCTAAAATATTTATTTTATTATTTACTTTTAAAATTAATATATTTGTAAAAAAAATTTACTATTGATGAAAGGGGGGTTAAAAATGAAATTTCCGGTATATTCGACAAATTTCTGGTGCTGAATTTTATTGTATATCAGAAATTCTTTGTATTTTATAAATTTTCGATTGTGATTTATTGAAAATTTCAAAATTTTCGAGTGCAATTTATTGGAAATTTCAAAAAATTTGGGGGCGATTTTCAAAAGCAATTATGTAAACCGAAATTTCCGTAAATTTTTTATAGGTAGCATAAACCGGAATTTTAAATTTCTAGAATATCGGAAATCTCAGTCAAGCACAAAATCTACGGTGTGTCTGGAGATGAAATTTTATGCCTTTGCGGTCTAAAGTCAGCAGCTTCAGCTTCTTCTACGGATTCATGTACTGATGTTATGCAGTTCTTCACCACAGATACCGTATGTTTCCTATTAAATTTACACATTTTTATTTGTCTTTCGACCTTAAATAATTTGATTAAATTTATTAATTATATGTTGTTGTAATTGGTAGGTTTTTGAATCCCGATCTAAAGTTTTAGATTGGACACTGTCTATTGGTAAAAAAACATAGTATTGTTGTTGTTACAATTTGTTTCGATTCTACTAATGGAATCCGAAGGAGGAAGGATAAATTGATTATGGGTTGTTTCAAAAAAGTATAGTCAATATTAAGCATCGGTATAACACCTCATTCTATGCTAAGTTGCACGATTTTGTATCAAGATAACGTATACAACTCATTAGAAAGGAACTAGAAAGAGTAAAATTTGTTGGTTCAAGCAAGGAGAGGTGTGGTTGTTACATTAGAACAACACATGGGTTACCATGTGCGTGTCAGCTTGCCGGTTTCTAAATTTTAGGCAACCATATACCTCTGGATTCAATTCATGTATTTTGGACGAAATTGCACATTTCAGAACATGATGTCAATCATGATGAGAGTAAGTGAGATTTAGAAGAAGAGTGTGAAGTGCCGACCAGATAACAATTAACTTCATTTTCTCAAAAAATTATTGTGAAACCTGGAATCCGACCAGATAACAATTAAATTCAGAATTTGTAATGAAGCCTAGAATCCGACCAGATAACAATCAAATTCAGTAAGTTACTGTGAAGCCTGGAAACAGACTAGATAACAGTTAACTTCAGTAAGTTGTTGTGAAGCCTGGACCCGACCAGATATCAGTTCAACTTCATCCTTTCAAGCAAGTTACTGTGAAGCCTGGACCCGACCAGACATCAGTCCAACTTCATCATTTCAAACAAGTTACTGTGAAGTCTGGATCCGACCAGATATCAGTTCAACTTCATCCTCTCAAGTAAGTTATTACGGAGCCTGGAGCTCGACCAGATAACAATTAATTCCATCCACTTCAGTAAGTTGTTGCAAAACATGGAATCCGACCAGATAACAGTTTAACTTCACACTCCCAAGAAAAATTTCTGCGAAGCCTGGTATCCGACCAGATAATAGTTAATTTAATCTTCTTCAGTAAGTCGTTGTGAAGCCTGGAATACGACCAGATAACAATCAACTTCATTATCCTCAACAAATTACTGCCAAACCTAGATTTTGACCAGATAACAGTTAACTTTCGATTCTCTCTAGTCGGGAATAATTCTCCAGTAGAGTAATGGATAACCAAAATTCTTTAATTTTATTTCCCCAAGCAGAGATCAACACTCTCCAGAGCCTTCTTAAACAAGCCAGTATCCCCAACAGAGTTTTTCCTCAAACAATAAAACAGAAATCCCCAGCGGAAACATCCTAAAACAAGGTCCAAAGAGGAGCATACTCTTCATCCACAGCAGCAGACCGGGATTTCATTTCCCAAGGCTTCCCAGCATTTGTCAAGGATTTATTTTCCCAGACAAAGATACACTTCAATAACATTTCACATTTCATACATCCTATTTACATACTGTTGTACCCCAAAATTTTCCCTCCCATTTCCTCAATATTTTCTCATCACAAAACCCTTGGAGCTCAAGATCCAATTAGGGTTTCCTCTGCTCAAGACTTCTCCTTGCATTGTTGACCCAAATTAGGGTTTGTGTTTGAACAAAGTAGTTTTGACCTAGAATGCCTAAGATGACTTTCATGCTTCATGTTGGACTCCCAAGTTTATCCATACCAAGTTTCAAGTCTTGATTCCAAATTTTGCCCAGTCAATTGGACAGTTGACCTAGAAATCAACTATATTGGGGAAAAAGTCAACTGTGGCCAATTGACAGTCAAATCTCATGAAAATTGACCCACATCAACATTATGAACTCACATGGACCATTTGATCAAGTTTGGATCACAATTCCACAAGAAATTTGATCAAATCACCAAAAGGGCAAAATGGTCATTTTTAGGGTTTTGACTGCACAAAGGCAATTTTTGACTGTTTGACCTAACCAATGGCAAACCAAGCTCACATATGGACTCAAGGACCCCATGGAATTGTCTTGACATACTCAACAAGTTCAAAAGATCCCAAATACACAAGATTGACAGTTGAATTTCCCAGTCAATTGATCAATTTTGACTGTATACTGAAAAGTCAAACTTTGACTTTTTGGTCAAAATCAAGTGTCAAGATTCATTTTTCATCAAAACATGCCAAATCATGAAACTTGTTCATCAAGAAATCAAGAATTGCAAATTAGGGTTTGAAATGAAGATTTTTCATAACTTAGAATTTTTCTAAGTTATGAAAAACCCTAATTTTTTCCTAACTTTGCCCCACTTTCTCACCAAGATTCATTTGGATTCAAGCAAAAGTCAAAACATAAAAGTTGTATCCTATTTCAAAATCTACAACTTTGATTCACAAAGTTTTCCCAAAAGAAGCTTTTATCTCAAGTTACAATTTTTGGAACAAGGGTACCAAACCATTCTTAACTTAGAGAAAATTTGACCTATTTTAGGCAGGGTTTTTACCTAACTTCAAGACCATTTTTCATATACTTCCACTTGGAATTTCAATTTGCATTTCAAATATGGATTGTAGTACACATTCAAAGCTTTCCAAAATGTCCAAGAACTCATCAAACAACCTCATGGTTAGAGAGAATCGAATTTGGCAATATGGGAAAAACTCACTTTTGATTTGGCCAAGTTACATGTTCATACATTTGTGCCATTTTGAATTCAGCATGTTTTCCTTGATTACAGGTCTTTTATCTCAATTACACTCCTTAATTTAATGCCAATCCTTTGTGCCAAGACCATATTCTATGTGTTCAAGCATTGCATAAAGGTTTAGTCCCAAATTGGAAAAAGCATTATATCCATTTTTGCAAAAGTGAACTTTATGTCTAAAGCAAATCCAAGCAAGTACAGTTAAGATCTCTTTGGCACAAGTTTATGGACTAATTGCACTGATCAAGACTGAGTTATGCAGCACATTAGAGGGGCTTGTACAAGCTAGAAACTCAACTTGGCCATTGGTTGCTTAAAGTAGAAGAAACTTGCCATAACTAAACACAACTTTCATATCAGCTAACACATGCTTAAGAAAACTTGTCAAACATTTTCTAATCATCCATCCTAAGCTGAAACACGAGCCTAGCATCCCCAATACCTCCCCATTCCCAGAATCACCCTCAAACTGCCCAAACAGAGCACCTGCTGCAGTTTGAGTTCCATAGCTCAAGCCTTCCATGCATTCTTGCTAAAAACACTTCAAACACATCCCATAATATCCCTTGAAGCTATTCCAAACCTCAAGCACGACCTGTAACACTCCCAGGCTACATCACCATTTTCATTTTCTTGTTTTGCAGTTGAAGTTCCATAGCACGATTCAAAAGGTTTCAAGACAAAGTAAAGCTTGGAATAGCATCCCTGGACATCAAGGAAGCTGTACCAATCATCACCTTGCATTGAAGACACCTCCATCACCAGATACAACTTCAACTGAACAGGTAAGTTCATGAACTCGTATCTCTCTATCCAGGCATTGTTAGCTTTAGGTTTGTGAAGAAAACATGTCACATTCATAGCCCTAAACATGCCCATGTAATTAGATTTCATTTATATTATGTGCGCTTAGAGAATTTTAAGTCTGAACATTGAACAAAAACTAGGTCAGGAATTGGGGAAGAAGAAATTCTCTCTCATCTTAGAGAGTTAAGTCAAGTTCTTTATATGGTTGGATTCGTCTTTTAATGCTCTACATTTTTCATGTTGTGAGTTTTGCTTGAAAGTCTAGGAATTGGGAGATAGAAAACGCGTGGATGGTTGTTCAAACATTGTTCTGAGGTTGAAGATGAAGTCTTCATGGGCTGGGCCCGAGTTGACTTTCTTTTTACACCATGCTTTTGCTTTTTCACCCCCTAGGCCCATTTTGCTTATTTTCATGATTTTTGACTTTTCTTTTTTTGTTCTGACTTATTTATTTTTTCTTATAATATTAAAAATATAAAAAAATATTTTTTACATCATTTTCATATTTATTAGGTATTTATTTGTTTAGGTTAATATTTGTACATAAATAAACATATAAACATACTTTTATTTGAAAAATACTAAAATAGTGCAAACACATTTTATTTTCCATTTTTATTTCATTTTATCTTCTGAAAATATTTTATATACCACTTTTTTTATAAATATTAAATATTATTATTTTTGTATATATAATATATAGTTAATAAATAAATACAAATACATACATATTTATTAGCATATTTAGTAAATAATGCAAAATATACACATTTTTATTTTTATTAATATTTAATATTAAA